CCCCAAAACCCCAAAACCCCAAAACCCCAAAACCCCAAAACCCCTAAATTTTAGAAAGATATTGAAACTTTAATCCAACCCTTAAGGGAGATCACCAAAGCCAGGATTCAGCTTTGCATGTATGGCCTTGTTAATAGAAAGAGCGATGAAATCCTTGGTCTCGAATTTATTTACTTTCTCTTGTAAAGCCTGTATTTCAAGATCTTTCTTTTTCTCTTCCTCCTCATCAACTTCAAATAGAGGACGCTTGAGGTAGATGTCATCCCAAAGAGGTTTAATCTTCTCCATGGGATATCTGATATCTTTTAGCTTGTAAGTCTTGCAATATCAACAGTCATGCTCATCTCCTGGATTCTCCTTCTTTGTCTTAATCTTCTTTTTGATCACTAAAAATTACACTGTGAGAATACAGTTAAGCATTTCGAGGTTAAAATTAGACTCTAATTTTCGATAATCTTTGGCTTCGTCCTGGTTATAAAGCTTGGTTCCAATCTTATTAAACTTTTGTTGAATAAATCTTCTTTCAAGAGTCCTTAAATCATAATCAGGCGGTCTGACAAGCTCCTTTTCCCGAATGACCCGGCCAGGCCGGGTCTTTTTGGTTTTGGTCTTGACAAACTTCTTGAATTGCTTCTGAGGAATTTCATTTGCTTGAGAGTCCTCGAGCGAATGAAAATCAGAAGCATATTCGTCATTTTCTGAAGGATCAATTTCATCCTTTATGGTTGAGTAGAGATTGTCCTCTGATGGAGGATCAACCTCATCAATGATGTCTTCAGTATGCCCTTCAAAAGTAGGCTCAGAGATCTCTTCAATAGGCTTATTCTCTGAATAATCTATAGGTCAAGTTGCGCTTTACCAATAATTTCAGTGATGTGAGACTTGCTCATTCCAGGATGACTTTTACTAAAATCTTGGCCTGATTTGACAAGACTCGTGCCAAATTTAGACCCAATATACTCCTCGAAAGAGTCAATGGAGTCGTCATTAATCGAATCTGAATCACCTGAGTCTTTCTTCTTGCTAAGAAGATTGGTTTCATCCATAATAGCCATTGAAATGCTTTCTGCAAGGTCTTGGTTATACTTATTTATAAAGCTTTTCAGCTTTAGGGTTCCTAAACCTGAGCCAAAATGGGCTTACTTTTTGACCTTTTCATCAGGGTCAATAATCACAACTGGGTTCTGGAACCGTTCAAACTGGTCAGAGTACGATCTATACCTCTAAATCCTCGAAATTACTCAGAAGATGGAATGAGCTCTTCCTGTATATCGTCATCGTCATCGTCAATAAAATTGATGTCTTTCATCAGCTGCGGGAGAATTTAAATTCAATAAATTATATTGAATTTGGGGTTTTGGGGTTTTGGGGTTTTGGGGTTTTGGGG